ATTGACAATAGACCCAAAAAAGGCCCCCTCCTATTATAGTTTAGTGTAATATATTAGGCATGTTTTAAGTCCAAAAAAAATTAAGGAAGGCCCAAACTAATTTAAAATAAATTGACTCATTAAAAAAATTGAAAGGCCCATTTAAAATAATTAGCATTGTTATCCATTGAAAATGATTTTGCAAAAAAATTAGATTATGCAAGTATGATTGATTTATTTGCTTCTAAAAATGTAAGAAGAGCGAGGATCAAACGACACTTATTAATTGTTGTAATGTAATAAGTATTTTTTGTGATTTTGATACAAATCTTTTGTCTTTTATCTTCAAATTTTTTTATTCATTTTTTTTCATTCAATGAAAAAAAAAATGTGAAGGGCCCCAAAAATTTATTAGTTGATTATTGACTTTGGGCCCAAAAAAATCTCAAGGCTGGGCCTGTGTGTAAGATTCGTAGAGATTTCATTCCAATAAAAAATCACGTTGATCGGATATCAATAGCTACTTGAGTAGATCACGTTTGTATCAATAACATTCCATTAACGTAATTTCTGCAAGGATGAAGTAAAGTCGAGGGGATTTCTATGAATTACATTAATAAAAAATAAATTTACTTAGGCCTTGTTTGGCATGCAACACTCTTAGCCTAAAAGTCAAAAAGTTACTAAAAAAATCAAAAAGCCTATAACCTATACCAAAAAATCAAAAATTTTAATTTCTCTCTACTTTTTGCACATCTTTTCGTAAAAAAATCAAAAAATCATTCCAAACATATTAATTTTTTTACTTCATATTTTAGTCAAAAAAATTAAATGAAGATTCCAAAAGGGAAATAAGAGAAGATGAACAGTGGAGTGTTTGATTTGAAAAAGTAGGGTTTTTGTATAAAGCAAAGATTTGGGCAGGACTGTTCAAATTTTGCGAAGTACAAAGACAGCCCGCCATGTGTCCTCGAAATGGGAAGCGATTCAGTTTCAGTACGACTGAAGAGACGTTTTGTAACCTTACCAATCGGTAACACGGCGACATACTAGCTCGGTTGAAAAGCTAAAGTTTTTTAGCTCGGCTGGAAAAAGATAATCCCTATCATGCTGCACAGATGGAATTAAGGGGCAATTGAGAAGTACTTTATATGTAAATTAGGCCGAGCTGGGTAATGGGTCATTCTGTGGACCACAGTAAGAAGGGCTGAGTAAAAGGGCCTTGCAGATAGCCCGGTCCGAAAGAGCTTGGTGGTTAGCTCGATCGACGCGGTGACAGTTAGCCCAGTCAAACCATCTTGAGCCGAGGTATTTTTGGCTTCTATTCAGGACCTTGCTATTGAGAATATGATATATATAATTTACTGTTGTAAGTTTGGCCAGGTTCTGAGCCATGTTGATAAAATTGGAAAGTAAAACGTGTGTTAGACAATAGTGTCATGAGACTGTAAAATGAAGTAATTGATTATCTTGGTTAACCATCTGTTGAATGCTATTGCTTTATTCATTGCTTATATATGGTTTAGTATATTTCTACTGGGCTGTGGCTCACCCTTTATGGGAACATCATTTTCAGGTTCAGGTGATAAATTACCTCCAAGGACTTAGCTTGGGAGGGTTTGGCTTCTGGATTTGAAGAAGACTATCTTTAGTTAATTGTCTTTATTTATTAGTAAATGTAAACATTCAAGCCTAGGGTTTTTTTTTGTATTGAGTTAGAACTCATATTTTTGTATCCAAGTGTTGGCTTGGAAAGATGTAAGCCTGTAGGGCATTTTATTCGATGTTACATGTAATGCTTTATTTAGTAATACTCTGATGAATGAATTAATATATTGTCTTCTTTAAATAATGCCTGTCAATGATATATAATGGGTTAATTTTGAGAGCGTGACAGATCCATTAAAAAATTAAAAAGTCATTCAAAAAAATTAGCATTGTTATCCATTGAAAATAGACCCAGAAAAGGGGTCTCTCTTATTATAGTTTAGTCTAATATATTAAGTATATTTTAAGTCCAAAAAAATTAAGGAAGGCCCAAATTAACTTAAAATAAATTAATCCATTAAAAAATTGAAAGGCCCATTTAAAATAATTCGCATTGTTATTCATTGAAAATGATTTTGCAAAAAAATTAGATTATGTAAGTATGATTGATTTATTCACTTCTAAAAATACAAGAAGAGTGAGGATTAAGCGATACTTATTAGTTATTGTAATGTAATGCTAAGTATTTTTTGTGATTTTGACACAAATCTTTTGTTTTTTACTTTCAAATTTTTTTTTTCATTCAATGAAAAAAAAAATGTGAAGAACCCCAGAAATTTATTTGTTGATTATCGGCTTTGGGCCCCGAAAATCTTAGGGCCGGGCCTGTTCCCCATGATTTGTTGCCAAAGCTTAGACGTTTACGCGTGCTTAGTTTTGGTGGATGCATAATAGGTGAACTGCCAAGTTCAATCTGGCATTTAAAGCATTTGAGGTATCTTGATCTTTGCTATGCCCCATTTTGTTCATTACCCGAATCACTGTGCACTCTCTACAGTCTACAAACACTCAAATTAAGATATTGCATACATATGAAAAAGTTGCCTACAGCTACAGGAAACCTAATTAACTTGCGTCATCTCGACGTTACTGGTGCAAATTCCTTACAAGAGATGCCACCAAAAATAGGTCAGTTAACAAGTCACCAAACATTATCAAACTTCATTGTTAGCAAAGGAAATGGGTTTATGATAAGAGAGTTGAGGAACTTAATTCATCTTAGAGGGGCACTTTGCATATCCGGGTTAGATAATGTGGTGGATGTTGTGGATGCAAAGGCCGCTAAGTTATATGAGAAGCAGGGCTTAGACGAGTTATTGATGGAATGGAGTAACACTAATTCAGAAGATTCACGAAATGAAAAAGTTGAATTAGAAGTTCTTGACATGCTACAACCGGACAATAAGGTTAAAGTACTTTCCATCAATGGTTACCATGGTCCAATATTTCCAACTTGGGTTGGAGATCCTCGGTTTTCTAATATGGTGCACTTAGTGTTGCAAAATTGTGAAAAATGCACATGCTTACCCCCTCTGGGGCAATTACCCTCACTTGCAAAACTTTACATTCGAGGAATGAAAAGACTAGAGAATGTTGGCCTTGATTTCTTGGGGGGTTGCTCAAACCCTTTTCCAGCTCTAGAGACTTTACACTTTTGGGATATGCCGGAATGGGAGGATTGGTCTCCTTTTGAAGTTGATGAGGAAGTTCAAGCATTTGCTCGCCTCTCAGAGCTCTCCATTCAAAGTTGTCCTAAGCTTTTGGGTAAATTGCCTGACAGTCTTCCTTGCTTAAGAAAGCTTGAGATTCTGAAGTGCCCACAGTTGGTGGTTGAATGGCTTCCGAGCCCTACAATGCTCCACCAAAAGAGGAATACCCTCCACTTCAGTTCAGTCACCTCCTTATCTCTCAGTGATGTTTCAATTTTGGACTCTATTCCTAATCAAGAGGTAGGCGATGAAGTATTAGCAACTGTAGCGTGTAAACATTTGAGCTCAGTGACTGATATGAAAATTGAAAATGTTCAGAAACTCACATGCCTGCCTAGATGGTTCTTTCATGGATTTACGGGACTCCAAGAATTGAGGATACATAATTGTGAAGAACTCACAACATTGTGGCAGAATGAGGTCAGACTACAGCACAAATTCCCTGCCCCTGCCTTGCAACATTTGGAGATTGAAAATTGCCCCCAACTTATTTCCTTGTTCGAAGAAGAAGAAGAAGATAGTCCACAGTTGCAGCGACAGCAGCAGGAGCAAGAGGGGTCGCCTTACTTAATGGGGCTTAAGTATCTGGGCATTGATAATTGTGAAAAGCTGGAGAAGCTGCCAGGGGGACTGCATGCCCTGAAATGTCTTCAGAAAATGAAGGTTCAAACTTGTCCATCGCTCACCTACTAATCGTCCAGAGGTGGGCTACCGGCTGCACTTGAAGAACTTGATATTGCTGATCTATCGAAGCTGGAGTCACTACTAGCAGAGGAGGGTACGAAAATTAGTTGTCCATCTCTTCAATCGATTTGAATTAATGCTTGTAAGAACCCCAAATCCTTGCCCGATGCCATGCATGATAGCTGCAACAATAATGAATTCAAAAATCTCAACCTAGTGTACATAAGAGGTTGTAAAAACATGGAGTCCCTTCCGGAAGGTTGGTTCCGGTTCGCCACGTCGAATCTGAGACACTTGCTTATCTACGACTGCAAAAAGCTCGAGGCCCTACCGTACAACCTCAGTTCTCTTCAAGAGCTGAAAATATGGAATTGCCCTGCAGGAATTGTCTCCAGCTGGAGTTCTCTGACGAACCTCAGTTCACTTACCATCAACACGATCATTATCGGTAAGCCCCGATCAGAGTGGGGTTTGCACAGATTACCCTCTCTTAGAAGACTCTTTCTTATTGGTTTTGAAGATTACCGTTGGGAGTCCATTTCAGAAGATGGAATGTTATTGCCCACCTCTCTGACCAACCTGTCCTTCCAATATTTTCCAAATCTAGAGAAGCTATCTTTCAAGGACTTTCAAGACCTCACCTCTCTTGAAGACCTTTTCATCTATGATTGCCGTAAGCTCATTTCTTTGCCAAAGGAAGGGCTGCCTCCCTCGCTTTTGTCTCTCGCGATCCAGGGTTGCCCCAACTTTGCATCCTTTCCGAAGCAAGGGCTGCCTCCCTCACTTTGGTTTCTCTGGATTAAGAGTTGCCCTAAATTATCATCGTTTCCAGAGCAAGGGCTGCCTCGCTCGCTTTTGCGGTTGGTGATCAAAGGATGTGCCTCGTTTGGGAACAGGCTAATTTAGTAACTTTTTAGCTAATTGGCTAAAAAGGTAGGTAAAAAAAACTTGTATGTTTGGGATGACTTTTTGACTAATTACGAAAAGCTGTGTAAAAAGTAGAGAGAAGCCGTAATTGTTGACTTTTTGGTATGACTAATTGACTAATTTAGTAACTTTTTGACTTTTTAGCTAAAACAGAGCCTTCCCAAAGGAGGCCGCCAACGGTGTCAAAAGGGGAAAGGCCGATATTGGCGCTTCATTTCTCACATTCCTCGTGTGGACATAGATGATAAATTCATCTTTGACCCAAGCTGCTAGAAAACAAGTCAGGTGCGTCAAATCATTAAATATAACACTCTCCCTTCCTTTTCTTTTCTTTTCTTTTCTTTTTAAAAAAAAAAATAGTAATAACAATAATTTAATTTATATTTTGGGATGTTATCTCTCATCAGAGTTGCCCTTTTGTGGTTGTAAAATGTAGAAATTAAAAGAGAAGCAGTGAAGAAGGGCCACTTCTTCCCTTTGACTGCAACCTCTCTGCAACGTGGTATGTAAAGAGTAAATCCTTCATATCATTACCTGCCTACATGTAATTAGAGATTTCTGAAATTGTTGGGAAAATTGTCATGGTCACGGTAGACTTGACTTTTAAATTTGAGTTTTTAAGTATAAGCTGCAGGTGGTGATTAATAACCCAATTCGATTCAGGTGTCATTTGAGGTTGGGCTTTTTTTAGTGATCTTTTTTATGAGGTAAAAAAAATTACTAATATATGGGAAAGAATAAAGTCATACATAATAATTGACATATTAATTAGTGTATTAACAGATGATGTGACATAATTTTAGAAGTTTTAAATATTTGTAATTTGTATAGTGGGTGGGTCCATAGTTGTGAAGTGATAATGTCATAACATATGTTGGTACACTAATTGGTATACCCATTGATGCATGTAACACTACTGTATTGGAAACTAATATGTGTGTTTGGTTTCAGTTTTTTAAATTCAGTTTTCTGAAAATTAAGTTTTTTTGTTTTTCGTATTTCTTTGTTTTTAGTGAGTACTTTTACAATTTTAAGCATTTTTTTACTTTTTTTAGATGAATCTTACTTAGATATATCTAAAAAGTAAAATATTTGTGAGAAAATATTTTAAAAAATTAATAAATATACAAAAATACAAAAAATATACTGAATTTTCTTCTTTTTTTTTTGTATTATTGGTATTTAGTGAATTTTTAAAAGATTTTTTTCACAAAAATTATACTTTTTAAGTGTATTTTTGTTAGATGTGTCTAAAAAAAATTTTTAAAAAAATGCTTAAAATATTAAAAAAATCAATAAAAACAAAAAAAAATATAAAAAATAAGAAAGTAGAATTTTCTCAAAAGTGTTTTCAAAAAAACTGGAAACAAACATTACAAGTTTAGGAACTCTTCCCAATTTACTCAAAAAATTATCAACTCTCCAATTATGTTAAGGCTTGGTTATTGTGTATATATATATATATATTTCTTTTAAATAAAAACAACCTCCATAGTGAGTTGCCATGTGGACAGTTGATAAATTTTTGAGTAAATTAGGAAAGTTTGGGAAGACTAAATAAGTGCACTTTTTGACTTTTCTTGTATTATGCGTAGAAAAAGTAGAGAGGAGATGTTGATTGATGTGACCCAAAAAAGATAAAAATATGAAATAAGTGCACTTTTTTAGTTTAGCCAAACTTTGCCCTAGTCTTATTGATTTGAAAATGACTTTTTTAGTTGTATGAAAAAACCTAAATTCCTTGTGTATGACTTACATTTTTTAGTTACTTCTTGATTTTTTTGAGAACATACTTTTTTTAGTGACTTTTTGATCGATTTTTTGGTATTTGTTGACTTTTTCATTTTTTTAGTGACTTTACTTTTTAGGTTAAATCGCAACTTGCCAAATGAGGAAGTATTATTTTTTTACTTTCTAGTTGCATCTTTTGTTTTAGTCGTTTTTTAGTTTTTTTAACCAGAAAAGCCAAACTTCCCAATCAACACTTTACTTAATTCTAGATGTATTAAGTGATAATCAATTAAGAAAAATTTCTATAATACACTTATTTTTGGGTTGTGTACTATATGCCCAGTTATAACTTTTGTAATATTTGGTTTTGATTCATAGTGTTGTTAGTTACGACATGACAATGACTTTTTAATGTATTAATTATGATTTGGTTATATTTTTTTATTTTGATTACGATCGAAGAGGTCTTTAGTTATGCCTCAAGTTATTACTTGGTTATGACTTATTATAATATTGATTGTGACCTATGTGATTATTATTTTAGTTATAACAAAAAAGATATTTGGTTGTCTTGAAATAATGTTTGATTATGACTCACGGTATCTTTATAGTTATGATTAAAAGTGATTTAGTTATGACATTTGTGGTATCAACACCACAAAGTGCCATATCCAGCCGACAAAAAACACCCCAAATAGGGGTGTGTATTGTAGCATGACCGGAGAAAATATGTAGTAGTTATTATCTTTCAGTTATATATCTATACTATATATAAAGCAAATGCTAAATTTGGAGTTGTGAAACGTTACTTTTTTTTTTTATGCCAAATCCTAACAATTGTTTTATTCTTAAATTACCCTTCCTTCGATTACTATCCCTTCTTTTATAATTGTATTTAATTATACTGGATTGTAATTGCAGATTTGAGGCACATATATAGAGAGATTGTGAGAGTGAAGAGTGGAGAGTGGAGGTGAATGCCATCGGTTTCTCCCTCATTTGTGGAGATTGCCAGCGATGGTGTAAGGGAGATCTAGAGATGTAGTGGAGATCCAGACAGATAGAAGTGGAGATTGAGAGGGAACATAGTTGATAAAAAATATTCATTGTCGACTCTGGTGAAAAAGATTACAAGACAAAGGGTTTCATAAACTGATTATGTGATTTTAGACTTTGAATTTACATTAATGCAAAATTGCATGTTAAACATGCAACTTTATTATCAATGTTGTCATTGTAATTGTAACGGTTGAACTATTGATAGATACATTCATCCATCTTTGCTATCAATAAAGTTTTTTTCTTAAGTCAAAAAAAAAAAAAAAAAAAAAATCCACACGAAAAATATTAATCGTTGTGAAAAATTAACAAATATATTTTAAAAAAATACTCATTCATGGCCTTCTTTGGAAAGTTAGGTTTAGGTTAAAATTGTCGATAAAACCAAAATAAGTTAAAATAACTAATAAGATAAATGTCACATTTTAACTAAAATAGTCTACTCCCAAGACTAAGGCCTCGTTTGGGAACAGGCTAATTTAGTAACTTTTTGGCTAATTGGCTAAAAAGGTAGGTAAAAAAAACTTGTATGTTTGGGATGACTTTTTGGCTAATTACGAAAAGATGTGCAAAAAGTAGAGAGAAAAGAGAATCTTTGACTTTTTAGTATAGGTTGTTGGCTTTTTGGCTAATTTAGTAACTTTTTGGCTAATTGGCTAAAATAGCCTCTTGCCAAACAAGGCCTAAGTGTCAAGAGAGTCTGAAGGTTAGTTACTTGGTGTTCGCAGCCATCATACCCTCATCTATTCTCTCATTATTTCCATGTGTTTTGTAACTCGCTATCATTGGGATCCAATTCTTGCTTCATTTTTGGATAAGTGATCCATATCTTGCTTCTTGGGACCAAAAAAATATGAAATTTCATAATAGAGACACAAGGGGGAATATCTTTGTCAAAACCCATTCATCATCACCTCCATAGAAAATTTCTTTTTCATTTTATTTATGAAAAATGCAAACAAGTACCCTCATGACACTAGTTACTATTGAGGTGTAAAAAAGTGTATTGAAAAAGTGTAAAAATATTATAAAGTGTTTTGAAATTCATGAAAAAGTGTATTGAATTTAGTAATAAATATCTCCAGATTAACTTATCTTTTGTCCTTTTATTGTCGAGTAATGCTAGAGACCCCAAATATTTTACCAAAAGTTTTACCAAATGTCTCACATGGGTGTGGGATCCACACAATGTGGGCCTCAAAAATTCTACCAAAAGTCGTGTGGGTCCCACACCCATGTGAGACATTTGGTAAAACTTTTGGGACCTCTAACATTTTTGTTTATTGTGTCCTAGAGATGTTTGTTAGCAAGACCCTTTATTTATTTATTTTTAGTAAGTGAACAATTTATACAGTGAAACTTGAGTTACAATCTAGAAGTTCACAAAGACCCCGTCAAAATGCAACAATCTCTCCATGGATAAACAACATAAGAAAGACCTAACCTACAAAAACAAATCCACATAGCCCAAAAGAAACCCACAAAGAACCACAATCATAAAATCCCCCACAACCCTTGTGCACACAAACACATCAATACACACCGCTTTCTCTCGAGCAACTCTTGGGTTATAAAATTTTAAGTGGAAAAGCCTTGTTTCCTTAAAGTAAACAACTTCAAAAGGACACTAAACTACAATAAAAACACCACACATGATGTTTGTCCTATAAACCATTATAGACTTAGGGATTTATAGGCCAGTCCTATTGACCAAACTTATCTATCTATAAATCCTGATCATGTTTTACCTAGCAATATCCCTACCCTTCATTATCATTTCATTACTCCATCATCACCAGCAACACATCTGGCAATCACTGTCGGCCACCAACGACCTTCGGCAACCACTTCTAGCCGGCAACTTCTGGCAACCACCTTCGGCGACCATATCCGGCTGCCGTCTTGACCTCTGGTGATAGTTTTTGACAATACTTTTCTAGCCATTTTTGAAAAAACTAAACGTCCATCTTCACCATGTCACTATTACCACCACTTCCTCATATCTGGTAGTGACAAAAGAAAATGAACAGGAGTATGAGGAGTACAAAGATGGATGAAGTGGGAAAGAAAAGGCCTTACCAATAATTATTTTCAGTGATAAATTTATTACTGAGGAGAACTATTTTGTGTATGTGTGAATGATAGTGAGTGATGACAGTGGAGATGGTTGGTGAACAACGGTGATGGCAATGGTAATGGACAGTGGCGACGGCAGTAGTAGACGGTGGCAGCAGTGGCAATGTGTGGTAGTGGTATGAGGCTTCAGAAATGGTAGAGAGAGAGAGAAAGAAATTCTCATCAAAAATATTAGAGAGAGAACTTAAGAGAAGATAAGATATTTAACGAGGGTAATATAGACAGTTGAGGAGTTAATAAATTTCATTTAATGGGACTGTCTAGTAATTAACCCTTAGATTCAGGATAATGTAAATAAATAAACTCAAACACAAATCATGAGCATCTTTATTACTCAATCAGTTACTGCTCAGAGAACACCACCTCAAACTAACTTTTCAAAACTTGCCTTGAAGAGCAAAAGAAACTCGACTTTTGAATATATACATATCAAATAGATGTATTTTCAGTAGGTAACATAAACTGTTAATTCTTTTCATGTCAGTAGCAAGAATCTTTTCAGTCAATGAAAATTCAGCTACAAGTGTTTCGATTCCTGACATACTAATCATATGAGATAAAATTAACCACCCACAAGAAGCCATTTTTTCCCCCTTCTCTAGATGAGGCTCTTTTTCTTACCCCATCCTACAGCAATCAAATACAAAGCCACACAACCTCCTACAGTACCAATAACAGTTTCCCAGAAGTTTATGGTTGGACTAGAAAAGAGAGAGATCTCAATGTTCATCCCGAACAACCCTACAACCGCGATACCTGCATTCATTATCATATTTGCCGTACTCAGCATCACTCCCATTTGTAGCAGCTGATTTTGCTTTTCATCCAACATGATGTTAATGAAGTCCTCTGTGTCGTTGACGTACTCACTCATCTTAGCACAATAACAAGTCAAATGTTTTCATATAAGTAGAAGAGGTAGAAGGAAAATTCCAAATAGGAAGACACAGAGAGAGAAGAGTAAATTCACTCAATAAGATGGAGGGAATTGAAAGTTAGAACTATCTAGCATTTGATAAATTAGAGATTATTCGCTCTATCATAATGGACATTTGACTATCTAGTTTAGCTTTCTACTTGCATGTATTTAACTTTCATTTTTTTTAAAAAAAAAAAAAAACAAGGACAATTACCAAAAAAAAAAAAAATCCCAGAGTTTGAGTCTTGTAACAAAATAAACTATGATTTTTCAATTTTGTCAATTTAAATTCTAACCTGTTGATTTATTTTCAATTTAAACCATTTGTCTATTTTCGTTAAGTAAAACCGACAAAAAAAGAGCGATTTAGTCATTAAACTCAATGTAGGTATACATAAAATGTCTAAAATAACATACACATATTTTCATCGGTTTTACTTAATGGAAATTGACAAATGGTTTAGATTGAAAACAAATCAAAAGTTTAGGGTTTAAATTGACAAAATTAAAAACTCAGGGAATATTTTGTTACAAGGCTCAAACCCTATGATTTTTTTTTTGTAATTGTCTCAACAAAAAAAAGAAAGAACGGAGCTAGCCCATTGGCTAATAATCCGTACATCTCACTAAGAGTTCAAGAGTTTGACTCTCATTGGGTTTGTGACCCTTGTATTTGATTGGGGTTTTTCTTGAGTTTGGTAGGTTTGTTGTATGATTGAGCTATATGTTAGACTTTCTTTCATAATTGAATATCTAATTTGATGTAATTCCATGATATTTTTAAAATAATCTCCTACTGATTGACCAAAAAAATATGAATATAACAAAGCAGCACGTGAACAAATTCTTTTTTACAGGATCGTAAAGCTATATTGGAAACCTTTTTGAACTGCACCTTGACTCTTAACCCATTTGGTGATACCAATAAAGTAAGGGGCTTCTAAGAAGAAATTTGTGCTTTCCTTTCCTTAAAAGAAATGAGGGAGTTTTAGAAGAGAGTCTCTATATGAAAGATTTGGGCTTTTGTTTGTGCTAGTCTTTTAAGTTCTGAAGTTAAAATAGTTTTGAAGGTTGATTCATACAGATTTACACCATAATTTCCAAAAAAGTTGAAGCACTGTCTATGAGATTTTGTTCTTCTCTAGCTTGCTTGAAAGGCAGTGTCTTGCAATGCAAATCTGTTTGGTTTTTGTGAAAGCTTAATAAGCCAAAATTTATAACTCCTTTCTCACCTGTAATACTAAGTACTTGGCAAGATCTTAATGAACATTATATTCCTAGATAAATCCTTAAATTAACCCCTGGTTTTTTTTCAGTATTCCCCTTAATAAATGACTGGTTTCAATTTGAAATTTTCCTTACTGATTATAACCACATAAATGTTTGAACATTTTCTTTTTTCTCCTTTTTATGTTTGATTGAACTAGATTACCAATACCATTACAATAAACAAACTTATTTAATTTTTATGACATTTGCAATTTCCGAAGATCAATTCTGATAATTTCATCAAGTTTTGAAGTGAGCAATGTTGTCAATTTTACCTATACTTGGCAAAAACAATTTTGAAAAAAAAAAAAAATAGCAGCAATGCCAACGAAAATATTAATTCTTAAATAAGAATATGGTGAGGAACATACATGGAATAGTTTTTGTGAGATGCCATCTATCTGTGCAAAGTAGGCTTCTAAAAGCATCTCCAGCTCCTCAATATTGGGCTTTATTCCAGTATAAGTTCCATAGCTGTGTTGAGACTTAGTTTCTTCACCCCTGAAAATGAAGTACCATGAAGAATAAGTAAATACACAACCAGCAAAACGTTTCAAAATGGAGATATAACTGTAAGTTAAATGACATTGTAATTCTAGTTGTATTTATCATATCCTACGTCAATTTTATTAGATAAACTTGGTTGTATTCCACAGTCTGATTTGTTCAAGGTCAGTTATATTTTATGAAATGTTCAAGATTATCACAATAGCCAGCGTCACATGTAGCTTACTGTTAAATCTGGATCATCATTCCACTACCACCAGTCGCGTCGCCATCGCCGCTGCCGCCGCCTCCCTTACTCTACCACCCCACCACAATACAATCGCTACCACTCACCACCACACTACCACCAACACTATTGTCACTACCAATTCAACACCACAATATAAAGTGAAAGAAAAGAATTTGAAAACTAAAATACTTAAAAATCTCTTCTTGTAAATATTAAACAACTTGATTTAATTCAAAAATTAAAGTTTTTGTACACACCACACAACTTTTTAGATTAAAAAATTCAGCAGTCAATTTTCAATTTCAGATTTCAATTTTTAGTTTTCAGTTGTATCAAACAGCACCTAGGTTATCATACACCGCCTTAGTCACACTATTATTTATTAAATAAATAAATGAAATAATCACTCTATTTTGTGAACTATTCAAGACAACAAACCAAAGTAATCAACAAGGCATTACCCACAAGAGAAGAAGCTAAGACCATAATTTCCACACCATCTCACAACGAATAGAAGATGCCTCACAGACTCCCCATCATGCTTATACAAACAGATCAACATGCATTTGCTTTCTCCTAATCAAATTATCAATGGTAAGAACCTTACATGAGTTGTAAACCACATAAAGAAGGTGATCTTAGAAGGGGTCTTTGTGCCCCCCACACCCTTTTTCAAGGGAATATAATCCTCGTCTGATCTGCCAAGATCTCATAAAAAGATTCTACCTCAAACCCTGCAGACTTGGATCTCAACCGTCAGATAGCATCCTATCCATCACCAACACGATGAACGGCATAAAGACGCCTGAAGAGGTCCATCAACTCCCCTATCTCCTAATCATTAAGCTCTCTTATGGATACCTATATCCCAAAATACATGACTACCATCTACCTTGAGATACTCAATAACGACTACCCCAATACTAGCAATATTAGGATACACTGCATCCAACCTCCTCTCCACACTACACATGGCTCCAAAACCTACCACAAACTGAATGTGCCTGAAAAAATACATCTCACCCATTTCGAATGCCTTTTCACATGTCCAACCCATAAGACATGGTAACTACCTCTAAAGCCCATCCACCCATATACAACCAATCAACCTTTTCCTCAAATAATTCATACTCCGGTACACTCCCTATCATGCATTAAATGTGAAAATTAATAATTATTCTAAGAAAGATAAATTTATTGCATCAGTAATCACCTGTCTTCATCATCCTCAAGTGCCTCATCATATAATTCCTCCTTTAAGGATGTGTGGTCCATTGAGTGACCAGCAAACTTCTCTGTTAAATACATTTCAGCCATATCATTGTCATCATCTAACAGATGCTCGAGTTCATCTCTCACCTAAAAAGAAAATGATAAAAAAACAAAATTACAAACAATGTAAATAGCCAACAAGTCCATGAGTGGAGTCAAAGATATCCAACATAATATCAATTTTGAAAATAACATCCATAACTTTAATAATATGAAATATCAAAATATTGGTTATGAAACAGATAAGTGAGCTTCACATAATCCCCTCAACAATCTAATTCTTTGATACATACTAACAGATTGTTTACAAAAAATGAAAATTTGTTGAGTAAAGACAATAGGGTCCTCGTAACTCTAATTGCTAATTTTTTGCATTTATCTGAAATTGCCACACTACTTGTTTTACATCATCTTTTTGAAGTTTCTGTATTAGACACCAACCTTCCTGCCCATAATTCCTGTCCTTAAAGAAGGAAGTGAAGAACATTTCAATAATTATTTATTTATTATCATGATGGGTCCTAAACGACATAATTAACTGTTTTTAGAGATGCAGACAACAAAAAAATGGTGTTTAAACATAGGTAAAGAATTGTAGTATCTCAGGACATGACTCAAGTAGAAGAGCATTGTCCACTTAGGAAGTTATTGGTTATCAATTATCATTAGGGAGTCTAATCACCATTCTTAACCACTAAAAGAGAATCTAACTCTTCTATCAACAAATGTTTAAGCAGGAAGCCAGCAACAATCTCGGCATGAGGAAAATATTGAGATTGACACCAATAATGCAAGAAAGAAGAATTCATGATTAATGAAGGCAAAAGGTTGTGACAAGCATTGGATTGCCGACAATTTACCCGACTCAACTACTTTTGCAAGTCTTTTGAAGCACAGAGTTACTAGAGGCTCTGTCTAAGACAAAGTGTGTCCCAAAGGGTTCCCTTTTCTCTTAGATGAGAGCAAGCCCACCTCAAAGAAAATGAGGAAAAGGGGAAAGGGTAGGCAGAGCCAAGAAGGCATTGCCGGTACTACTACAAAATAAGTAAATAAATGAAGAAACAAGTTGCTAAAGCCATGATGGTCTAAGTTTATTTCTATAAACAACTGATTGATGTTATAAGCATTTTTGAGTAAGTTTCCCAGCAACTAATCCTTCACTAAGGAGATGATGTGAAGAACACATTGGTGTAAATAGTATGAAGTTCTTCAAGGCAATGCCATATTGGAAATTAAGCATCACTCTACCAAAATGTTGCTAAAGTACCTGTACTTCCATTGGAGTTGAGTATTTCTATGGATCACACATGACTCAGAAGTTAAATTTTCATTCAAGGAATGGAGCATTTGTCAGACCCTAGTGAAATTATAGTTGATGATGTATGAATGCATTATATCTTCATATAGCCCATGCTCTTGTGAAAATCTATGAATATGAATTATGACAGTAGGTGTCCATGAAACCAGGAGTTATTTAGATATAGAAATAATTAGAACACATACAAGAAAACGACTATTTGGAAAGGGAGCATTTGTTCACATTATATATAACTCAGCGTGCAATGGCAGTCTCAAAAGAGCTTATTCACATTTACCTTCTGTACACGACCAGATATTGCAACGAGACGACTCTTTATTTGTCTGACACGCTCAAGGTTAAGTGTGCTGATTTTAGAAGTCAACTCATCCAATGCTGGATATGCTTCTTGCTCCAGTGTTTGAGTCTGATGTAGATGCAAGCAAATCCATTTTGCAGTTAAAGTTCAAGAATTACATAGAAGTGGAGCTAACCAAATGCAGAAATAAGATACTAGTAAAAAGAAGAAGAAAGTTTAGCTTCAGAGAGAATACAAACAATTAAGCACCAATCCAGTAACAAGAAACATAGCACTTCAAAAAAATAATAATAATGTTATTAAATGATCCCATTCTTCAGCAATTTTTTCAGCAAAGAACATGTGAATCTTATCATGAATGGATGAAACATTATATGCATAGTTAACAAAACACGCCATGTTTTCCTTCAAAACTGCCTCTAACAACAGCATTGTTACTCTTCAACCGAGTCCAGAGAGTATCATGGTAAGAAACTGTATATCGATTGATTATAGATATATATATATGGATAGAGAGAAAGAGAGAGTATCATGACAAGAAATTGCATGTTGATTGATCAAAAATAGATATATAGATGGATAGGGATAGATAAAGTTCCAAGAGTCAACATGCAGTTCAAGGTCTAATAGAACACTGATGGCGCAGCCCTGGATTGGCATGAAGCACACTGTCGGATTGGAAACCCAAAGGGAAACCTGTGGATCCAAACTCCTTTTGATCCAATAAATGTAATTGGTAATTTTCTGTTATTATTATTTAGTTAGGAATTAAACAAGAATTAATCTAGTTATTTTTTGTTGTTTCCAAAAGAGTAATAGGATTCATTTTCCAAATAAGTTTTAGGGTTTTGGCCTATATAAATATTGTAATGATTAGCGTGGAGATAATAATATAGAGAGTTCTTGGCTGTGGCCTTTTGTGAGTTTCTTCCTTTTGTCCCAATTCTGTTCTCCACCAACCACCTTATCTATCCATCAACAATATTTTTTTATTTCTACGTCACATTCATCTTGACAGAAATGCCACTTTTAGAAATGTATTAAACAATAATAAGAAAAGTAAAAGAGAAAAAAGAAAAGAAAAGAAAAGGGTCAATCATAATTTGTGGTCTAAATTTAATTAAATTGTTTGCCAATGACAAAGTCAAAGTCACTGGTACAAAACTATAAATATGCTCCTACAGATACTCATTTTAATGTAATGATTTGCTATGTTCTAGGAAAAAACCAACAATTCTGATAATATTTTCTCAAATTTGAGAAATTATTTCCAAATGCCAATTCCCTTTCTGGTTGCAGCATGAAAACGTAAAGTTATTGTCCACCAACTAAGAAATTTAAGGCAATAAAGTGACAAATTAATTACATCCACTTAGAAAACTTTACTTGTCAAACAGTGTGATAATTGTTAAAATAATTTTATCAACAAAATTCACAAATGGCACGCAACTCTTGTAGTCTCAATAGGAGAAAATGCAACAAGAAGCCCAAGTTCTCTAAATTATCACTCTAATCCGTCTGAAACAAATACATTGTACTCTTATCAACCTCACTTATAATTGATAGCAGGAAATGCAACAGAATCCCTACATATTCTGATCTTTGGTTAAGGATTGTACCTTGTTCTACTTTTGGACACAGTTGCTTAATAATTTGAAACCACTGTTTATGTCAATCATTCAGTTCATTTGTAGGAGGCATAAAAACTTTAGTGAGTTGGTTTTTCTACCTGTATATAATTATTTAACTTACAAGCAAACTAAATAAAATTCCAAATATGAGAATTTTTTTTATAATTTCATCAATCAACTCATCAAGAATGTAGCTGCCTATCCAGAAAGTGAGAATGTCAAAAAGAATTGAAGTGACATTCATGAATATTGGAGCAATTGCAGCAAGAGAATGAAAAACATACCCAAAAAAAAAAAAAAAATGAAATGAAGCAGGATATGGAAACAGCAAGCTACATACTTCCGATTCAAGGCACCTGCAAGCAGACTCGAGGCATACTTCAAGTGCTCTAAACTCAAATGGTAACAACTTTGGTCCAGGAGCTTCTGGTCTCCCAGTTGCGCTATTTGAGCTGCCCTTTTCAGTATTTGGCATGTCCGACAAATTATTGAAATTTCCAGACATAACATGATGACTATTTATTGAGGGTGAGCCCCAAGTACCCTCAACTGCATCCTCCATGTCTGTGTCACAGTTCTTTGTTGCCTTCGTAATGAAAACAATGGAATAATTGTTATAATAACTGACAACCAGGAAAGTAGTTATCTTCTGATTACAAAGTATCTTAGAAATTACATGCAGCAACTCTTCTTCCTTGCACATAACACAAACTATCAAGAAGACTTTTGAAATGTTGGAGGTATATAATTAGGCAATCTGGATATCATATCAAATTCAAACAGGCTGTGCAGTTCTGCAATGCATTAAAAGGAAAAAGTTCACCTTCTGGAAGAAAGACATTACTGGAGTTGGAATCATCATCATAATTTATGTATTACATATAAAAAAAGTGATCACAGAAACTTAAAATGGCCATGTATTTACATGCCCACGTGTTGATATTGTTTAAATTAAAAAATAAATGCACTTAAAATTAAATGCTAACAAAAAATGCGATGTCAATTCACGTGACTTGTAATTTTCAAGAAACTGATTGTCCAACCGTTATTAAAAAGTAAAAGATTCTATCTAGGACTCTAGGAACCAAATAGGATGAAAACTTGTCCACAATATCAGCGTTATGACTACTAAAATGCACTTTAAAATACAACTTCGTAGGCATTTATAGGCTAAAATGCACTTTTAGTCGTTCTTTTATTCTGTTATGCTTTTCTTTTTCTTGTTCAGAGAAAAGTATAGGCAAGTAGGGTATTAGCAATAGCATTTTATAGTAACCATGACCAACCCTCTTCAGTGCTCAAGATAGCATCTTGAACTAGAACTATCTAACAGGTATAGTTGAAGCCCGATTAAAATAATGCATGGATTCCTTGGAAAATATGATCCATTGCATACAACAACTTGGGGAAAAGGAAGAATGAATACTCAATATAATCATCATATGGTAGCTCAAACCTCGGAAATGATAAGTGATTTCATCGCCGAAGTGATTGATAAAAAGAGAAATGGGCCAAACAAATTTTTAAAAATAAATTTATTTAGTAATCAAAGTTGTTTCTTACTAGAGTACACCAGGACATATAATAAAGTAGGTGACGCAATTCTGTAAAAGGGGGATAGACATTGAATCTAGAAGAATATAAAAACTGAAATAACAAGAATTATCCTAAGAAGACTTTTGAATATGATTGCAACCAAGAGAAAGGAAAAACAAACAATATCTAGGTATCAAATTTATTTTTTTTTTTTTCCTTCTAAAGGTATATAACTACTTTTCATGGGTGCAGCAGTTCTTCATTTTAATTGTATTGGCACCCTCCAGTGTCTAGTGACTGTGAGCAAAGTTGACCAAAGTGATTGCAGAAGAAGAAGAGGTCCATTAAAAAAAAAAAAAATCTCTCCCACTTTGAGGTCCAATAAAAAAAAAAAAATCTCTCCCACTTTGAAAGTTTATTTGTAAAGATTTTATATTGTATTTGATTTTATTTATCGGGAAAAAAAAAATTTGGTTATTTGATTTTTGGGAGTGGTAAGTTTTTCCAGTTATTCAATTTCGTTGAGAATGATAAGAAAGAGATTAAGTAGAATATAAAGGATTTGGTGTTTTTTTCTTTTTGACTGTATGATCTCCTTTGGTGCACTCCTTGAAGACAGCTTTGTTGATTATTTTGTGGTCACAACACGTGAATTTTTGTTGTATAAAAACAAGTTATCCAACATTTGTTCACCAACTGAACACACGTGTTGGGTACAGACTACACTTTTTTCTACTTGTTAGCCACCACCATTGACCATTTTATTGTCTATACACTGTGGGTTCTTTTCATTTTCAAAATTTGATGGAATTGAGTCGAAGTTGACAATCACAAATATTTGAACAATGCCTTATAAAAATAGATTATTCGCTCAAATTTAGTTTAAAATGTTGATAATATGTTGACATTGATTTGTTATTGTTGATTATCTGCTAAATTTGATTTTTTTTTTTTGGATAATTTTGATGAAATTGAGTTGTAATTATGGGATTAGATGATCAAATTGAACTAAATTTATTCTTTTTTTCTTTTATTTATCAAAGCTGTATTGTAATTCATTATGTGATGAAACTGATATTAAACCCGACTCGTGTCAGATGGAATGGGGGAACCTTCAGATGAAATCCTAGTTCCGCAGCCGATTTCTCCTATGATTTTACATGTTATCCCAAAAAAGAGCAATTTTTACCCACAATTGAAGCTCTAGCAACCATTTCGAATTGATACATATACACACACATCATAAAATGACCTCCAAATGAATCGACATTACCTCTAAAATGAAAATCTAACAAAAGAGATAGATTTGAAAGAAGAAACATTACCTGTTGTTGCGTATCCTTGGAACAAGAAACCCGTTCCTGAAGATCCTGAACGAACTGAACGACAAGCGGGTTAGTCGAATTAACCATCAAAACCTCCTTGGCAGTGATGATAGCCATAATGTGCTCCAAATTGATCACGATTGCCCTCTCTCTCCCAAGAATTGTCGACGGATACGAAAGCATCGGATCGAGGACCCTCAGGTCTCTGGCGGGGAGACCGGTTCGCCTCATGATAGAGTGTTTTCCGACCTCCTCGATGTGCGTATGGCCCGACTCCGAGACGACGAGCCAGACTCGAGTCCCGATGCCCTTTCGACGAGGCTGCGAGTGGACCATGGCTGCGGATTTGCCAGATTCTTCGTCGGCGTGTTGATGATGGAGTTTGTAAGCCATTTGCTGAGGCTCTGAGAGGGGTGCTATGCTAGGTTTTCTAGGGTTTGGTCGTTCCGTGAATTAGTTGAATCAGTTACAAAACCGTATATATATATATATTGTCGTGTTTTGGACTTTTTTATTTTATTTTATAAGATATGTACATAAAAAAAATGTGGTTCCCGCCAGATTTGGAAATTATTTATGAAAAATGATGGACTCAAACATGAAAATGCTATACTTTCCAAATTTTTTATTAGATAAATGATTAAATATCTCACATGAATGTGAGATTCACATGGTGTAAATCCCACATTCATATGAAATATTTGGTAAAATATTTAATAAAATATTTAGAATTCTTGGCATTAATCATTATTTATTATTAGGATAATGCAGGGATATCAAATTTTTTATCAAATAAATGATCAAATGTTTCATGGGTTTGTAAACCTCATACCCATGTGAGACATTTGATCATTTATTTAGTAGAAAATTTGGGACCTATCTATATGTTTTAGGATTGGACTGCAAATTTAGTTTCATACTAGGGTATTGTTTGAGATATTAAGTTTTTATTAAAATTTTTATTAAATGTCTCATATAGGTGTAAGACTCACATGACACTTATATGATATGGATCTCATACTCATATAAGATATTTGATAAAAATTTTGACAAAATTTTTAGGATCTCTAGTATTTTTTTTTTCTCATACTATTCAATGTGTTTGATTTTAATTTTTTGAAAATTGAGTTTTTGTTTTTAGTGAGTATTTTTAAAATTTTAAGCAATTTTTTTTTCATTTTTAGATGCATCTTATTTAAATGTTTCTAAAAAATAAAAAATATTTGTAAAAAAATATTTTAAAAAATTAATAAATACACAAAAATACAAAAATTGTATTGAATTCTCATATATTTTTTTTATATATTTTTGGTATTTAGTGAATTTTTTTAAAAAAAAATCATAAATATTATACTTTTTAAGTGTATTTATGTTAGGTATATCTAAAAATTAAAAAATTGCTTAGATAATTAAAAAAATATCAATAAAAACAAAAACATATATATATGAAAAATAAAAAAATCAATTTTTTGAAAAATTAAACCTGAAAATCCAAACCAAAAGGTTCTTTTTTGTTTTTTTTCCCAGATTTAAAGGCCAGTCCTACGAATGAAACTTAATACCCAGCAATATTTGGTCCAAATTAATAGCCCACATTTTTTATTTTACCCTAACAACTCAGCTTGCTAATCTACTATTCTTAACTCAAGTTGATTTGTTGAGGCCCTTGTGGCCTGTTAACATGTAGTCGCACATTAGGATACAATGAGTGAAAGATCAGAAATTCGAGTTGATGGGCCAGCGGCTATCCCTTTAAGTCGTAACTTAACTTTTATAAGCATTCTATCTTTGACCCCAAAAAAAATAAAAATAAAAATAAAAAATACTCAAACTGATTCTCACATCAAATTTTTATTATTTTTTCAATGATTCTTAACAGTAAAAAGTTTTGTAGGACTAATATGTCATTAAAAATCTCACTCATAACTTATTGGATAAAAGCTGAAAGCTGAAATAAACAGCTTATAAGCTCTACCAAACAGGTTTATTGATTTTTTTAAAGTTTTAATTCACATAATACTAAATCTACTTTTTATTAATAATTCATTAATCATATAGATAAAAAAATGATATTATCATATCTTTTAAATTGAAATGTATATTTTTATTTTGTTTATCATGGTGTCTATAAACTATTTACATTAATTTTGGTATATTTAATTTACTAAAAAATGTGTGGAGTAATCATGCTAAACTTACATAGTTTATTGTATTTTTTTTTGGCTTCACGGATAATTTATGTAACTTACCGACAAAAAAAAGTTAAAATTATCAGTTGGTCCTATTGATTGGAGTTAATTAATCAAACTTGTGAGACTTAGGCCTCGTTTGGGAACAAACTATTTTAGTAATTTTTTGATTTTTAAACTAAAATATGAGGTTAAAAAAATTAGTGTGCTTGGAATAATTTTTAAATTTTTTACGAAAAGATATGCAAAAAGTAAAGAGAAAATAGAATCTTTGACTTCTTGGTATTAGTTATAGGCTTCGTGATTTTTTTAGTAACTTTTTGATTTTTAAGTTAAAACTCACCAAGCCGCTTTCCGTTTCTATACCAAGAATGTTTTTCTCACCTACTCACAATGCCCATGCCCAAAAGAACAACTCTTAGAACTCCTTCAATCCCTTCTCCAATTGCGTCATACTATATACTTGTTGTAAGGGAGCTCCACAAAGATGGAAACCCTCACCTTCATGCCATGGTTCAATGCACGAAGAAGATTCAAGCCTCCAACCCTAGATTTTTCGATCTCACTGGAACCAATAGAGGATCTATCATCCAAATATAAAAACACTCCACTCTCCAATAGCAAGTCGACAATATATACAGAAAGGGGGCGACATCGTAGAATAGGGAGAATTTTCATCGAAGAGGAGAAGTCCCTCGAAGAACAGAGACGAACTCTGAAGAAGAATACTTGCAAAAGCAGAAACGGAGGAACAATTCTTTGCACTTTGCAAAGAGAGATGTCCCACCGATTACGTCACAAAATACCCCCAATTAAAAACATTTTCAATGGATCATTACAAAAGAGAGAAGCCCCCATATACTAACCCCTTTGATTCATTTCCTTTCTTAAATGAAGAAGTAAAAAAATGGACAGAAAATAAAATTTTGTTTGTAAGTCGAAATTATGTACAATACAAGTTATGTCAAAATTGTTGTCTCTCTGTTTAGAGGGAAGACGACTGAATTAGATTAAGGATACACAAAAATAATATCAACAATTTATGTATTGACGAAGAACTCTCCTTCTCCTCTGATAACAGGATCCGGAACAGCAGTCCATCCGCCCAATCTCCCTCTACCTCGAAGGACCCTTAAGAACAGGAAAAATCGCCTGAGCCAGAAGTATCGAATGATACAATTACTTCTCCGGCAGAATAAGTTTCAAGGACTACGATCAAGACGCTGTCTACAACGTCATAGACGACATCAAATACTCAATAGTCCCTACTGAATTAATGAAAAAATTTAGTAAGTTGCTAGAGAGACTTCCATATATTTGTTAAATTCTAACCAGATCTCCCTATTAGAGGAGGAATTCCTTGTATTATATTAAGTAATGGGGACAGCAGTTGGTTAGATTCAATGTCCCCAAAAATGAGAGAATGATTTGATGTTAATGTAACCACTGTCATGATTAATGAAAAATTTTATTAGTTTTATTTACTTACTATATTTCTCTTATCATCTACTATTACATCTTGAGTCACATCACTATTTTTTACACTCATTATTACAATTCGTAAATAGTAGATGATGACAGAAATGTAGTAAGTAAATAAAAGTTTGAGTGATTTCATAAATAAAACTAATAATTTTTTTCATTAATCATGACAGTGGTTACATTAACATCAAATCATTCTCTCATTTTTGGGGACATTGCATCTAACCAACTACTGTCCCCATTAGTTAATTTAATACAAGGAATTCCTCCTCTAATAGTGAGATCTAATTAGAATTTAACAAATACATTGAAGTCTCTTTGGCAACCTACTAAATTTTTCATTAATTCGGTAGGGACTGTTGAGTATTTGATGTCGACTATGACGTTGTAGACGGTATCTTGATCGTACTCCTTGAAGCTTATTCTGCCGAAGAAATAATTGTGCTGTCCGATATTTCTGGCCCAGTCGGTTTTTCTTTTCTTGAGGGTCCTTCGAGGTAGAGGGAGATTGGGCGGATGGGCCGCTGTTCCGGATCCTGTTATCAAAGGAGGAGGAGAGTTCTTTGTCAGTATATATATTGTTGATATTATTTTTGTGTATCCCTAATCTAATCCAGTCATCTTCCCTCCAAATAAAAAGACAACAATTTTGACATAACTTATATTGTACAAAATTTCGACTTATAAACAAAATTTATTTTCTGGCCATTTTTTTACTTCTTCATTTAAGAAAAGAAATGAATTAAAGGGGCTAGTATATGGGGGCCTCTCTCTTTTGTAATGATCCCTCGAAAATATTTTTAATTAGGGGTATTTTGTGACATAATCGGTAGGACATCTCTTTTTGCAGAGTGCAAAGAATTATTCCTCCGTTTCTACTTCTGCAAGTATTCCCCTCCAGAGTTCATCTCTGTTCTTTAAGGGATTTTTCCCCTTCAATGAAAATTCTCCCCATTCTACGATGTTGTCCCATTTTTTGTATATACTGTCGACTTGCTGTTGGAGAGTGGAGTTTTTCTATATTTGGATGATAGATCCTCCCATTCGTTCCAGTGAGATCGAAAAATCTCGGGTTGGAGATTTGGATCTTCTTCGTGCATTGAACCATGGCATGAAGGTGAGGGTTTCCATCTTCGTCGAGCTCCCTTGCGACAAGCATGTAATATGACTAGCAGGGTAGTTGGAGAAGGGATTGGAGGAGTTCCAAGAGTTGTTCTTTTGGGCATGAGCATTGTGGGTAGGTGAGAAAAATACTTTTGGCATAGAAACTGAAAGAAGCTTGGCAAGGGATTTTGTAGTGGTAAACAGTGAACTCACACCAGCCGTACATGACCTCCCTATCAGTTAAAAAATCCAGTGTGAATGGTGTGAGTGGTGCGACTGGGGGGGCGTTGTATTAATATTACTAGTGCTCTCCCTCCCGTTGATTTGGGCCGTCTATTGTTGTATTTATGGACATATTGGATGCGGTTAAAAGAAAGTCACACCCAGGCCCAGGTGTGAGTAGTGTGAGTACTTTTGATTCCTTTGCTAGATAGTGCTATATACATGTCACTTTTTTGGTGGTTTGTGTGGTTGTAAAGTAAATATTTTTGCAGAATGATAGACATAAAGCAAAGGCGAAAAAATAAATATGTTTGAATTATTTTGAATGGGGAATCTTCGTACTTAATCACGGGGCAGTTTTGCTATTTATTTGGTACCAGAACACATTTGATGGTATAGAGGAATATGCTTTTGCAGTGGGATAGCTATTGTGGTGAAGTTGTTTTCTAGTACCTTGTTTCGTCCCTCTTTTTCAGT